ATTTATTGTAATTTTATCTGTTAGTCTTCTAACTTAAACATCACGAAATGATTTATAGATTATTGAATATAAGAAATGCAAAAACGACTCACTGAAAAAGATTGAGACTCAACGAAATCACACCGACTAATATTAATGAAGCGAATGATCCTTCAAAACTGGATAATAAAAATTCGGAATACCTTAAAAAAAGTATTATTACAAATTCTATGGAATCACAATTTTGTATATATATATATATATATAGATTGATATCACATATACTATATAAACCAATACAACTTCATAGCTTTACGATGGATGTCGATAGCACAACCTATTTCCTTGTAAATCATAATCTCGTTATTTGTACTAAACTTTTTGAACTTCATTGTCATTGCTTGCTCAATGCGATAACTATAAATTGATTATATAATTTTGGTATATATATTGATTTAAAACTAAGGTTTTATTAATAAATTTATAACTTTTGTATTCATTCTTAGGTATATTTTTTTACCTGGCAATTTTAAACATTCCACAAGCATGTATGAGACATCCTCTGAGCATTGTACCTGTTGCTGTTACTGTAGCCGCCCCTATACATACAACTATATTGACGTGTAACAAAATTAAATAGGAATATTTTTCTTGATCGATAAAATATTCAGTCATGACATATATTTGATATGTCTCAGATCTATTTGTATGTAAAATAATATTAAGCACCGGCATCAAAAGTGGCGTTGTAGTAATGATAGATACGGCACATATGGTAAAAACTGAAAATATTTCCAAAAAGTTATTGTATAAGTTTTATTATTTTTTAACATTTTGAAATATTATATGTTTTGAATTTTTATTTCTCTAATTATTTTCCCAATCATCATCTTTTTTTATTAATTGTAAAATGTTTTTGCAACCGTATAATATTTTTCATATTTCTAATGTAATATAATTATTACAAAATAATATTATTAGACAAGAAAACAATATAATAAATATAGTAAAGGAACAATATAATTATTAGATCGAATATTATAATAAATGAAATTATATATTTTATGACAATATGTTTGCTCATATGTTTGTTTTCCGTATTTTTTCAATACAAATTTATATTCTAAATATCTAAAAATAATTTATAGAAGTATGTATCAAACTAAATTAATTATTTAATTTTTTAAGATTAATTTATTTTATATGGAAATGTAAAATGTATGTTTACTTAAATGTATGTTATCTTACATATAATTATAATAGTATAACGTTTCGTATTGTTTCCATATTCTTCCATAATGTTGATTTCGTTTTCATCTTTTAGCTTCGTTACAGATTTTCTTGTAGTCTCTCCAACAAAGTCTTACCTTTATATATTTAATGTTGTTTCTC